ATTTAGAACATGATGTTACAGTATCTGTTCTGACATACAGTGTTAAAGCATTTGTAAATTTGACTGTAAAATTACATTGTTTTGGTCTTGGTTGAGCTTGTGTGTAAAAGAAGTTCAAGCATTTTAAATTGGTGTTAACTGTATGCATTTTGTATCAAAGCAACAAGAAATGTGTTAATTGTATAGCCTACATAGACGGATGTTGTGCTAACCGTGTTAAGAGTTTAGGAAACTTGTTAAATGTTTTGAAAAAACTGTCATAAAGATTGTAAAAAACTGTAATTTGATTTGATAGTCAGGTACTGATTACATGCAATGTTGATACAACCTATAGGCTACTTAAATGTAGATTACACTAAATAGTTAGACATTTTGATCTTCTGGACCTTTGCTTCAAGAATTTTTCTCTAACTGGACCTCTTTAAATTTTAGTAGAATACCCCTGCTCTACATCAATGTGAGCAAAATGATGTTTCAGTTCATTTACAGTGTTTATTAGTGAGTTGTATTATTTACACATTCCTATTTTATTTGTTTTATTTGATGTGGTCTGTATATGGAGGACAAAAGGTAACATAACCATAAATAAATAAATCAATAACAAAATTAATTTATTTTATTTCTCATTCCAAAGATTTATTTTAATTGGTTTTTTATTCCTAAGATTATTTTATGCATCTGTATGTAAATGAGGTGGGCAGCCGTAACCCTTTTCTAAAGCCCTATTGGCCGGTGGGACTTTGCTGATCTGCGCTCCATTACCTTGGCCTTGCTTGGATTGCACTCTTGCTTTACAGATAATTTTATTTCTGCTTTATATTCTGTCATGACCAGGGGCGGATTAATGCACAGGCTAGATATGGCTTAAGCCTAGGGGCCCCACGTGTGCCAGCCTGCAAGGGGGCCCCCATTGGCACGGAGGGGGGCGGGCTTGGGGGGCCCACAGACTACTGTAGCCTAGGGGCCTCTGTACACCTTAATCTGCCCCTGGTCATGACCTGCTCTTTTGCCCCTCCTGTGTGCCACGCCCACCTCGTTACCTCATGTTACTTCTGGATTGTGTGCACCTGTTTCCTGTGAATCCTGGCTTTTCTTGTGTATTTAGTCCGCGTCTGTGTCAGTATCCCTAGATCCGTCATTAATGTTAGTAACCATGTTGTCCTGCCCGTCTGGAATAAACCCATATTCTTGGATCTTCATTTACCTGCTTGATCATTTCCCTGCGTCCTGCCTGCTTGTCGGACAGCGATCGCAACAATATTCAGTGTATTTTATATGTTCATTGTTATATTATTTTCCTTCATTTTATTTTTAAAAATTCCATTCTTTTAATTTACTTGTTATATGATCTACTTTTCATGCTTTTCATTGGGACCAGAGGAAACACGTTTTGTTCCATTATGTTGTACAGTGTGGTGATATGTAGGAATGACAAAAAACATCTGAATTCTAAATCTTCTGAAGACCGTCTTTAATTTAATTTTTAAATATACTTTTTAAATTTATATTCTAAATACAGCTGCGGAAAAAATTAAGAGAACACTATATTTTTAAACAAATCTGCTTTTTTAAATCCCTGTTTAATCCAGGCTACACTGAGCAGCAGGTTGCTTCCAGGTTCAAAATTTCTAAGACAGCAGTACACAAGAACAAGGTGAAGCAGGAGACACTGGGAACAACCAGAAACCAGCCAGGTAGAGGGCAGAAGCGACTTTGTAATGCCAGAGATGACCTTCAACTTATCAGACAGTGCCTCATAAATCAGAGGATGACAACAAGTGACCTACAAAAGGAATGGAAAACATAAAGTGGTGTAAAATGCACTGTTAGGACAGTTTGTGTCAGGCTCCTAGAAGCAGGACTGAAGCCCCATAAAACAAGGAAGAAGCCCTTTGTCAATGAGAAACAGGGAATAACCAGGGTGCAGTTTGCAAAAAAGTATATATCATTCATAGACGCACACCCAGGGGCGCTGCTAAGGATTTTGGGCCCCATGAAAAGAATCTTGACAGGGCCCCCAACACAGCTGAGACTTTTTTCTCTGGGCCCCCTCTCAGTCATGGGCCCCGAGAATCGTCATCGCTTACCCCCCCTTTACACCGCCCCTGCGCACACCCATAAATTGAGAAATTAGTGAAATAAAATATTGTGTTGTACAGTAGTCTCAATTTTTTCTGCGGCTGGATTTTTAATATACAATTTGTTTAATGTCATCATCACATCTGCATCGAAAGCAGCCAGTCGAGGTGATTCAGGTTTCTATCTCAGATGCCTCCTAGACGCTCCTCTGGGGAGGTGTTTCGGACATGTCCAGTCACGAGGAGACCCCGGGGCAGACCCAGGACACACTGGAGAGATTATATCGCTTGGCTAGCCCCCCGGAGGAGCTGGAGGAGATGGCTTGGGAGAGGGAGGCCTGGGCATCCCTGCTTAGACTGCTGCCCCCGTAACCTGGACATGGATGAATGGCAGAGAATGGATGGATGGAGGGATGGATGGCTGATAGTTGTGTTTTCCTGAATTTACAAAAGCAATGGTCAGTTAAACTGAAGGACATTAATTTATAGACTTACCAGTCCTTTAGTCTCAGGTCCTTCTAATTTCACACAGCAGGTTGCATTAAAAACATCAGTGCTGGTGTCGACTCCACAACTGCTCTGCTGTAGGCGGAAAGTTAATTTGGTAACATAATGTGGTGG